TAGGAAGCTATCTGAGAGAATTTAAAACACATGTCCACACAAAGACTTGTACACAAATGTTCATAACAACTTTATTTGTATTAGCCCCAAACTGCAAACAACCCAAATGTCCATCAGCTGGCGAATGGATAGACAAAATGTGGTCCATCCACACAGCGAAATATAATGCAGCAATGAAAAGGAATGAAATACACACGTTCCAGTAGAGGTAAACCTCAAAAATATTATATTGAGTGAAAGAAACCAGACACCATATAAGTACTATATGATATATGATTCCATGTTTATGAAACGTCTGTAAAAGGCAAATTCTGCACATTGCCAGGAGCTCTTGCAAGTAGGCTGAAGTGAATTTTGGGAGTTGATAGAAGTGTTCTGAAATTGGATTGTGGTGATGGTTGTAGCACATTATAAAATTACTAAAAATTGTCGAATTGTAAACTTGGATGGACTTTAAAGTGTGCAAATTATACCTTAATAAAGCTAAGGAAAGAATAGTGTATTAGCCTGTTCTGATGCTGCTAATAAAGACATACCTGAGTAATTTATTTAAAAAAAAAAAAAAAAAGGTTTAATGGACTTCTAGTTCCACATGGCTGGGAGATCTGTCAGTCACGGCGGGGGATGAAGGAAGAGCAAAGGGACAACTTACATGGTGGCAGGCAAGAGAGTTTATGCAGACAAACTCCCCTTTATAAAACCAGCTCCTGTGAGACGTATTCAATACCATGGGAACAGTATAGGGAAAACCACCCCCATGATTCGATTATTTCCACCTAGCCCCACCCTTAATATGTGGGGATTTTTACAATTCAGCGTGAGATTTGGGTGGGTACACAGTCAAATCATATCAAATAGCCATATGTTATCCATAGATATCAGCCTCGGGGCAGAGAAGAGGGAGGAGACGAGAGTAGATCTGGAGGGGAAAGCACAGAATGTCCAGTTTAACTAAGGATTCCCTTCCAACCTGCATTCTTTCCCCCTTTTTTGATAACAGTACTCCAATTGTCGTTGTGGGAACTGCCCCTCCAACTCTCTTAAGGCATATGATTCATCACCTCCTGCCTTCAGAAGTAGATGACCAGGGCCTGGCCAACCACTGTCAATCTGAAGGATTTTAGGAGAGTTTTAGGGAGTTACTGTTCTAGGTTGCTAAGCTGACAAAGCATATGATATGGTTTGGCTCTATGTCCCCACCCAAATCTCATCTTCAGTTGCAGTTCCATAATCCCCACATGTCAAGGGCAGGACCAGGTGGAAGTAAATGAATCACAGGGGTGGTTTCCATCACACTGTTCCTGTGATAACGAGTGAGTCTCATGAGATCTGATGGTTTTATAAGTGTCTGGCATTTCCCCTGCTTGCACTCATTCTCTCTCTTGCCGTCCTGTGAAGAGGTGCCTTCCACCATAAGTGTAAGTTTCCTGAGGCCTCCCCAACCATGTGGAACTGTGAGTCAATTAAACCTCTTTCTTTGTAAATTACCCAGTCTCAGGTATTTCTTCACAGCAGCATGAAAATGGACCAATACAGCATAGGACTGATACTGATGGAGAATGTCTTTGCCACCATGATAAAGAGCCTGTTGGGAAGTAGACATCACAGAGAAAAGGAGAACTGAAAGATGGAGAAAAGATAAAAAGAAACTAAAGTCCACCTGTCTGTGAACATGTTCAATAAGCCAACACCTCTTTGTGATTGCATTAGAATTTATTAGGTTTTTGTCACTTGCAACCACAAGTCTTAACTCTGGCATAATCTGGGCTCAGTGCAACCTCCGCCTTCCAGGCTTAAGTGATTCTTGTGCCTCAGTCTCCCATGTAGTTGGGATTACAGGTGTGCGCCACCATGCCCGGCTAATTTTTGTATTTATTTTTTTAGTAGGGATGGGTTTTTACCATGTTGGCTAGGCTGGTCTTGAACTCCTAGCCTCATGTGATTCACCCACCTCAGCCTCCTAAAGTGCTGCAATTTCAGGTGGGAGCCACCATGCCCAGCCCTCTCTCACTGTTTCTAATTAATCTGGGTGCACTTCTCCTCCCTCCTCCTTCCCCTCACTTCCTCTGCTATTTTCCCTTCTCTCCTTCCTTACCGCCCTACCGTTAGCCTTCTATGAACAATGGGGTGAAGAAAGGGAAACTGGTCACTTACTACCCACTACTTTCCAGCTGTGTGAACTTGTTGGACCAGTGACTTCACTCTCTGAGTCTCTACTACCTCATCTGTAAGTTGGGGACAATACTATTGACACATTTACCAGAAGAATTAAGTGAAGCATGATATGCCAAGTGCCTGGCATATAGTAGGTGTGATGGTTAATACTGAGTGTCAACTTGATTGGATTGAAGGATGCAAAGTATTGTTCCTGGGTATGTCTGTGAAGGTGTTGCCAAAGAAGATTAACATTTGAGTCCGTGGACTGGGAATGGCAGACCCACCCTCAATCTGGGTGGGCACCATCTAATCACCTATCAGCATGGCCAGAATAAAAGCAGGCAGAAGAATGTGAAAATACTAGACTGGCTGAGTCTTCTGGCCTCCGTCTTTCTCCCATGCTGGATGCTGCTTGCCCTTGAACACCGGACCCCAAGTTCTTCAGCCTTTGGACTCTTGGACCTTTGACCACAGACTGAAGGCTGTGCTGTTGGCTTCCCTACTTTTGAGGTTTTGGGATTTAGACTGGCTTCCTTGTCTTCGGCTTGCAGATGACCTATTGTGGAACCTCGCCTTGTGATCATGAGTCAATGCCCCTTAATAAATACCCCTTTATATATACATCTATTCTGTTCTATCCCTCTAGAGAACCCTGACTAATACAGTAGGTTATCAATAAATGTAACTATTATTACTAATCATTATTATCGTGTCATTAGCTAGCCTAATGGGCAGCATTTGGTACTAGAATGGTTGTAAACCTCTGCATACGATCAACCCTTTTGTGTCAGGTAATGGTGAAGAAGTTAGAGGTGACTTTTGGATACCACGCCACCCCTGGGATGGACTATATCACTGGGCCGTGTCTCCCTAAAGGTGGGAGGAGTCAGAAAGCAACTCGCAAGAGTTGAGGGTGAAGAGACTTGAAACTGTCCACAGTCATCAAGATTCCTTCTAACGGTGACCTATCCCAGTGCCCCCAAGCTCTAAAGTGCACAGAGCTCCACTGAGAACCTTCCTGACATGCAGATTCAGATCCAGGTGATCTGGATGACCCAGGAGCCCTGGAGCAGGACCTAAGATTCTGCTTTCCTGGCCAGGTTCCAGGTAACACTTTCACTGCTGCTCCACAGAACAGAAGTGGAATGACACGGATTGCAAAACACTGGTGCTCACATTGGACTGCTTATTGAAATCTCCTGAGGAACTTTAAAAAATACTCATGTATAGGTTCCATCCCCAGAAGTTGTCATTTAATTGGTCATGGGTGTGGCCTGGGCATCAGCATTTGTCAAAGTTCTCCAGGGACTCTAAGGGACAGATAGTGAGGGTTGAGAACCACTGTCCTAAATGACCCTGGGTCTCTTTCTCTACCTGTCCCCATACTAGAGAGATTTACTTTAAACACCAGGGAGAGAGAAACTGTCTTTGTTTAGCTCTCTATACTAAACTCTCTCTCCCACTAAGAAGGAAATAAGTGACTCACAGCTTGAACCCTCATACACAGCAACACAGAGGACAACTGAAAGTCCAGAAGGAGAGATGTGTAGACCCTTTCACCCAATTAAGTTTCTTAGTGTTACTGGGACAGAGGAGATGTGAGCTGTGAACTTGGCTCAGGAAGCTGAGCAGTGACATTTTCATTTAGGGGAAGGGAGAGCATCTCCCCAGTCAGGACCTTGATAACGCTGTGAGTATTTTAGGGGAGTTTTGAATGTTAATGTATGCGCTGTGGAAATAGTTCATACCTGGAGAAATGTTAGACCTGGTCCTCCTGGTTTGGAACTGCTGCTTATCTTCACTTCTGAGCTTATGACTCGGGCCCTGTAACTGTTAACTCCTGAGACTCTAGAAATTCAGCCTTTATCTCAACTGCCATGAGCAGAAGCCATACATGTCCGGAGTCCTTGCCATAGGCAGAGAGGTGAATGGGCCAAAAGCACAAGCCACTTCAACTACACTCATTCAGCCACACTGAGTGTTGACTGGATCCTAGAGAGCCTAGGAAGAGAGGGCAGGGATAGAAACAAGAGCTTCAAACCCTTGGCAAGAAAGAACAAAACACTCACGCTTTTTCTGAGGCATTATTGAAGGAAGCATAGATTTTTTTGTTTTGTATTTAGTAAATTTTCCCACATCATATGTTTTTATTGTGATAAAATACATATAACAAAAGCCTTACAATCGTAACCATTTCTAAGGGCACAGTTGAGAGGCACTACGCACATTCACGGCGTTTGCATCTAACACCACCATCCACCTCCAGAACAGTCTCATCTTCCCAAACTGAAATCCTGCACCCGTTAGACGCTCACTCCCTGTCTCCCTCCACCCGCCCCTGGTAACCACCATTCCACTTTCTGTCTCTATGAATGTGACAACTCCAAGTCCCTCATGTAAGAGGAATCATATGTTATGTGTCCTTTTCTGACTGGCTTGTTTCACTTGGCATCATGTTCTCAAGATCCATCCACGTGGCAGCCTGTGTCAGAATTTCCCTCCTTTTTAAGGTGGAAGCATTGGTTTGGGAGCCTGAATTTCACACTTGGGGTAAATGCTTTCCCTCCCTGTGCCTCAGCTTCTTCATCTATGATGGGGCTCATTTTGTCCAGCAATCTCCTATTCGAAGCTGTATTCACTTGTCCACAGCAGAAACCCCAACTTCAATGACTTCAGCAAAGAGGCTGCTTTTCTTCCCTTTAACACATAATGAGGTGTCTGGATCCCAGGGCTGGTGAATTGGTCCATGATAGCCTCAGTGTCCCAAACTTCTCCTTTTTGCCCTGTCCTTCTTAGTGGGTGACTTTCATCTTCATGATCATGAGAAAGTTTCTCTCCCACAGCTTTGAGAGTCCATCTTGCGAGCAGAAAGAAGAGGAAAGCAGCACTGAAGAACGGATGGTGTCTGCAGCAGGGAGGTGAGATTTTCTCAGAAGTCTCTGGCAGACTTCTCTTATCTCGTTGGCCAGATTATGCCACATGACCCCACCTAGCTGCAAAGGAAGCTGGTCATTTGTTGGCTTTTTTTCTTTGTCTATTCATTGCACAGGAAATTTTACCACTATTTCTAACTGTTTCACAATTTTGTAACATCATGCCTAACTGGAGAAGTGGATTTTGTTTGTTTTTATTAGTGTTGGTTTTAAAACTTTGGAATCATGCCACATTAAACAAAATCTCAGGAGTTTATATGGTAAGGAACAAGGGGGAGAATGCATTGGGGGTGGGCAACTAGTGATATCCTGTTTCACAAGTTGTCCCAAGGATTACAGTTTTGCGAAGTGTCTGAAATGGCGCTGGCAGCACACAGTAGGCACTTGGCCAATGACAGTGCCGGTGAAGATGATGACAATGATGATGGTGATGATGATGGTTATGATGATGAAAGCGACAGTGAATGATCACCTCTCCTCTCCTCCTCTCCTCTCCTGATCATGATCATGAGGTGATGATCAGGAGGATGAGGATGAAGAGAATGGTGAAAATGATGCTGAGGATGATGATGATGATGGTGATGATGATGGTGGAGATAATGAGAATGTTGATGAAGATGGTGGTGATAATCATGATGGTGATAATGATGGTGAGGATGATGATGAAGATGATGGTGATCTTGATGATGAGGATGTTGATGAAGATGATGGTGATAATCATGATGGTGAGGATGATGAAGATGGTGATCTTGATGATGAAGAGGATGGTGATGATGATGGTGGAGATGATGAGGATGTTGATGAAGATGGTGGTGATAATCATGACGGTGATCATGATGGTGAGGATGATGAAGGCATATGGGAATAAAAATTTTCAGTAGAATAAGACTCTTGATTAACCAGATTTCACCAGGATGACAATAATGGCCAGTAATTAGCTTACACTTATGGAGTGCTCCCTGTGTGCCTGGTGTTTTGCAGGTGTTATCTTCCTAAATCTTCATGAGTCTCCCAACCTTCATTAAGGCACATTCTTTGGGGCTAACTCCACTTCTGGCTCTAGAGAAGGGGCAGATAGCTCAGGCCTGATATGACCAATGTAGTCTCATCCCCTAGACTGTGATGGATTCAGCGATGACCACATGAGCTTTGCAAATTGGACCAATGAACCCCAAGGAAGATTTTAATGGAAGCTTCTAGGAAAAGAGTTTTCTTATCTTCTGTGGGGATTTCCAGAAGTGATGCATGCTTGCCTTCTCGATATAAGGATATTTCTAACTTATGTACTGGTTGGCAACCACATTGTAATTTGATGTCATGATGAAGCCAATACTGCCTAGAAGTGGAAATGTACAGGGTGCTGTCTCTGTTTGCTTCAGGCTTTATGTTCTTTGCATCCACATGCACCCCAGCTGGTTCAGGTTGCTACTATTATCAGCCTCATTTTACAGAGGGGAAACTGAGGTTCAGGGAGGTCAGGGGTACATAACTAATAAGGGGTGAACCTGAGGTTTGCCCTCAGGAAGCTGGATGTCAAACCTTAGAGCATAATCACTCATTTGTACCAAAATAATGTGTTACTGGTGGAGGTTTCAAAGTCCTCAACTCCAAAATAACTCTGGTTTTTAAGTCTTTCTTCTGGAGTTCTCTCTTCCAGAATCACTAACATCTTCTATCCCAATTTAGGCTCCACCCCAGGATCCATACAGACAGCAATGGGGCCTTTATTCTTGCCTCTATATTTTCAGAAGTCTAATGAAAGCCCCTGTGTTTTTACAGAGCAAGATGCCACTCCACCTAATTAGAATACAGAGCCTCATTAGATTCCTTGAGCTGGAATCAGGTCCACTCCATGGAAAACGCTGCTTAGCTCTGGCTAGTGGAAGAGCCAATTGCCTAATGTACATATTTGATTAATAAGAATAATTTTGGTTGGGTGCAATAGCCCCTGCCTGTAATACCAGCACTTTGGGAGGCCAAGGTGGGAGGATCACTTGAGCCCAGGAATTTGAGACTGGCTTGGTGCAACATGGCAAGATCCTGTCTCTCAAAAAAAATAATAATAATTAGCCAGGTATGGTGGTACACACCTGTGGTCTCACCTACTCAGGAGGCTGAGACAGGAGGATTACTTGAGCTCAGGAGGTTGAGGCTGCAGTGAGCAATGACTGCACCACTGTCCTCCAGCCTGGGCAACAGAGCAAGACCCTGTCTCAGCAATAATAATAATATTTTTTAAAGAATATATTATTTCTTAATAAATGTAACTTAGTAAACAACATTTCTGGAAGAACCAAATTCATGAGAACACAACGAAGGGGGCGTTTTCTTCACCCCTCCTGAGAGTGGATGCCACCTCTGACGTCCCTCAGTTCTCAGACCCAGGCTTGTTTGATGATTCCCAGGGTCTCAAGATATCCCTCCATGCCAGGTCATCCGAGAACAAGAGTTGAGCAGAAAACAGCTTCTGTTCAGCACGAGAGGAATGCTGGTGGACCTCTTCCCCAAAATGGAGAAAAAAAAAA